TGGGTGCCCAGCCCAGCAGAGGTGTGTGCCCAGCCCAGCACAGGCGTGTGCCCAGCCCAGCACAGGTGTGTGCCCAGCAGCACAGGTGTGTGCCCAGCTCACCACTGCCAGCCGGGAGCCCACGGCGCCGCCGAGGTCGGGCGTGCAGATGCGGCTCAGCTTCTCGTAGTAACGCAGCTCGTAGTCCAGGATGATGCCGTTGGGCTGCTCGGGCTGGGGCCAGGAGAGGGTGATGCTCCTCATGGTGGCACTCACCTGGTGCATGATGGGGACGGTGGAGGGGGCTGCCAAGGAAGCGGGGAGGGAGGGAAAGTTAAGGGAGAAGGGAGGGATGAACCAGCAGCCCTAGGGAGGGGGGGGGAAAATCTCCTGGGTTGGTGGAGCAGCCCAGATCATCCAGGCTTGTGGAGCAGCCCAGACCTTCCAGGCTTGTGGATGTGTGTCCCATGGGACACCTTCACACATCAGCAGTGGGAAAAGCAGCATCTCTGCAGCGCATGTGGAGCCGGCAAGGGAATTCTGGCATTGAAGCTAATTATTCTTTTTAATTAGAGGTTTAGTCATCTCAAGTGTTCCCTCTCCCTGGGATTTGCTTGCTCCAAGGATATCACTCACGGAGGGGAAAAGACAGCAAAGCTGCCCCCATGGGGACAAACCAAGGTCCCCAGTGCTGAGGGTCCCCAGCTCTGCTGCTGGAACAGGCTCCCCATGGAGCAGCCTGTGCCACAGCCACCACCCCAGGGGCTGTGGGACACAGAGCAAAAATCTGCCCACCCTGAGGACAACAATGGGAAACCAGGGTAGGGAGACTCCAGCCCAGCAAATGGAGCCCAAGGTGCTGGAGCCTGCAGGGTGGGCTTTGGCTCAGCCTGGCCAGGGGAGCAGCTGGGCCTGCTCTCAGGGGCTCTCTGGGGATGCTGATTCTCAGCATCCAAACGTGCTACTAGCAGGAGTTCCATTTCCAAAGCCCAAACACTTGCACAACAGCCTCAAAACAACCTTCAACTGGTTGAACCCCCTGGGGGTCATGGCTCAAGGGTGCTCAAGAGGTGCAGTCTCCATCCCTGCAGCCCCCAAGACCTTCAAGGAGCAAACCAGAGCAGCCCCAGGCACCTTGTCTCAGCATTCCTGGAGAAAGGAAGATGCTCAGTGCTGGGTGTGAGCTTGGTGGGGCTTGTCCAACCCCCTTCCCTCCATGCTGTGCATTTCTGACCAGCCTTGCTGGCCCCATCACACTCCACATCGCTCCGTGGAGCCACCTGCAGGACTGGAGCTCACACACCACGGACAGAGCCAAGTCAGCACATGTCCTAAAAAAAAGCTGCCAGGCACCTTGTCCCCACTGCCACTACTCCCTGCCCTGCTCCTGAGTGCACTGCAGCAATCCCAGGGCTGTTCTGTGCCTGCAGGGAGCTGAACATCTGACATCCCCCAAAGCTGGGCATTCCAAAGCAGAGCACCCCCAGATCCAAGCAGCCCCAGAGTTGAGCACCTCTGGAGACAAGCATCCCTAGACACAATGGTCCCCAGAGCCAAGCATCCCAGAGCAGAGGATCCCAAAGCTAAGCACCCCTAGAGCAGAACATTCCAAAGCAGAGCACCCCCAGATCCGAGCAGCCCCAGAGTTGAGCACTCCTAGAGCCCAGCATCCCTGAAGCCAAACATCCACAGAGATGAGCATCCTAGAGCCAAGCATCTCTGGAGCTGAGCACCCCAGGAGCTGTGCATCCCCAGGAGCCAAGCATGCCCAGCAGCAGCAACACCAACCTTCCACCACCGAGGACACCAAATTAGCCAGGAGCCACTTTTCCAAAGGCTTTTTCCTCTCCAAGTTACCCTGGAAGGGCCAGAGCCAGCCAACATGGCCCTGACCCTGCACTTAATCCCACCAAACACCTCCAAGGGAGGCACCCAAGTCCCTCCACACCCAAAGAGGTGCTGGCACCCCTGCTCGCAGGGTCAGCTCCCTTTCCAGTGCAGGGAAAATGCCTCCTCCCCATGGATCCAGGGCAGGGTGCTGGGGAGGGAAGGTGGGGCAGCAGGAGCTGCGCTGAGCGCGGCTGCACCGGGAGCTACCGGTAACACGGCACCAGCTCTGTTTACCCAGCAGATTTAATCCCGTCCTTTCTTTTTAATCTCTCTACATGTTCTCCCAGAAGATGCTCATGGGCTGAAATTAAACACTTAGCTTGACTGCTGCTTTGTTAATTGCCACATTCCCCGCCCCGCTGGCAGGGCTGGCGGCACGGGCTGGGGCAGCCCTGCTGGATGCACACACCGCTCCACATCCACAGGGAGAATGGGGTTGGAAAACCCCCTGCAAAGGGATCCCAGGGGGTCAGCACCCATCCTACCCTTGGCACACCCAATCTGCTTCCATCTGGTGGCACCACAGCCTTAATGGCTCCAAACCCTCAGCTTTGATGGCTCCAGACCCTCAGCCTTGATGGCTTCAGACCCTCAGTCTTGATGGCTCCAGACCCCCAGCCTTGAAGGCTCCAAACACCCAGCCTTGATGGCTCCAAACACCCAGCCTTGATGGCTTCAAACCCCAGCTTTGATAGCTCCAAACCCCCAGCCTTGACGGCTCCGAACCCCCAGCCTTGACGGCTCCGAACCCCCAGCCCCACCTGATCCCCAGACTCACCAGCTTGGTTGGTGGTGATGTTGACGGAGACGTGCTGCGGTGGGAAGGGGCTCTTGCTGGAAACCCCATTGACAGCCTGAATCTCGAAGGTGTAGGGGGTGTGTGCCCAGAGGTTGCTGATGAAGACCCGGGTTTCTGTCAGCCCCAGCTGCCGGGGAACAAAGTCCACGTTGTCGTCGCAGCGGGAGCAGGAGCGCCGGTCTGAGCGGCACTTCTTGCAGACGATGTTGTAGGTGACATCGTCCCGACCCCCCGTCTCCCGCGGCGGGGGCCACTCCAGGATGATGGACGTCTCGTTGACGATGGAGATGACGTTGCGGGGGCTGGTCGGGACACCTGTGGGGAAGAGGGCACTTGGATCATCGAATCACAGGCTGGTTTGGGTTGGAAGGGACCTGAAAGACCATCCAGCTCCAACCCCCTGCATGGGCAGGGACACCTCCCAATCAGCCCAGGCTGCTCCAAGCCCCATCCAACCTGCCCTTCAACACTGCCAGGGATGGGGCAGCCACAGCTTCCCTGGGCAACCTGGGCCAGGCTCTCACCACCCTCACACTCCACAATTTCCTTCTCATGTCTCACCTCAATCTGCCCTCTTCCAGTTTTCATCCCTTCCCCCTTGTCCTCTCCCTCCCTGCCCTTGTCCCAAGTCCCTCCCCAGCTTTCCTGGAGCCCCTTCAGGCACTGGAAGGTGCTCTAAGGTCTCCCTGGAGCCTTCTCTTCTTCAGGCTGAACACCCCAACTCTCCCAGCCTGGCTCCAGAGCAGAGCTGCACCAGCCCTCCCATCATCTCTGTGGCCTCCTCTGGACTCTCTCCAACAGCTCCATGTTCTCCTTGTGTTGGGGGCTCCAGAACTGGACACAGTGTTCCAGGTGGGGCCTCACAGGAACCAAGTAGAGGGGGGGAATCCCCTCCATTGACCTGCTGCTCTCTTGAGCAGCTGGGATGTTAGATGGGAGATCAAAATTGCATTGATTCAACCTATCACAAATGCTTGAGAGGATGGGAAATGAAGGTGGGTCCACTTGGACATGCTTCTGGAACGGGGCTGGAGTCAGCAGGGAGTGATTCAGGAGGACTCCAGGTGGGAGAGGATCATCGAGACATGCTCAGATTTAGGGAGGGATTTAGGGTCAGCCAGGACAGCTCCACAGCCAAAACCACAAAATCCAGCTGCTGGGTTGTATTAAACAAGGGAAGTGATTAATTATTAGTGCTGGCTGGGCTGAGTGCTGCACTTCTGAGGAAGAAAAAGGGCTTTGCCACAGTGGGGGGAGCAATAAAGATGATGGAGGACTTGACCTGCAAGGAAAGGTTAAGAGAGTGAAGCACATCCCTCCTGGGGAAAACCATCCCGGGGAGTCCTCCACGTGTGTGTGCGCAGGGAAACATCATTAGTGCCTGCAGATTAATTAGCAGCCAGGGCTGGGCTGGGCAGAGGCAGCTCCTTCAGCATGGGGGTGATAAGAGCAGTGGGATGGAGAGGACATCCTGCATGGAGGACATCTGGCTGACATCCCTGTTCTGGCCACAGCTGGGAGGGGAAGGAGGGGACCCTGCTGCCTGTGCTGCCTCTCCCCCTGCTCCCTTGATTGCACCAGGCAGGCACTTTGGGAACCTCTCTGAGCTGTTGCTGCAGATACTGGGGATGACAGCATTTTGTTAAAATGCCTAGAAAAATGACAGCCTTTCAAAAAAGAGATATTCCATCCCCTTTCTTCTTTTTTTTCCCCCTCTTTGTGAAGGAAGCGTGCCCATTGGAGCAGCCACCAGCACAACATCCTCTCTGGAAAGGGCTTTTGTGGACACCAGGCACCACACACATCCCATGGTCCCGACACCCCAGATACCAAAGGGGGTTTACAGGAGCAGGGGTGGGGGACACACTGGGGGTCAGGACACCAGTTCCCAGGGGAGCCAGACCAGTGGGCTCACAAAGGCTGGGGACAAGGATCAATATGTAGCGAGTTGGCCTCAAAAAGCTCTCTCAGGAACCTGAAGCCAATCACCCTCTTTGTACCTGAAACAGACAATGTCTTTTCAAGCTTTTTTTTCAAGAAAAAGGCCCAGAAAACCACCTTCCCTCCCCAGCCCAGTGGCAATCTGCTGTCCCCCCAGATTCCTCCTGCAGGGGCATGGGGACAGGAGCCACCCCTGCAGGTATTGCCCTTGGGAAGGGCTCTGGCCCAGGGTGATTTAATCCTCTGACATGGAGGAACTTTGTCAGTGAACAGCTGGCACCTCCAATCAAGAGCATTGTACAAATATAACATCGAGAAGAAGAACTAAAAATCAGCAAATAGCCTTTTTTTCCCCACTGCATTACCCCAGCACAGCAGCCCTGTAAATCAGCCACACAACGAGACGTAACAAAGACCCGTAGATCATCTGCAGCCCTGCTACCTGCTGGCTGCCTCTCGTCTGGCAGCTCCACTGAGCCAGCAGAACATTCCAATTATTCCCTCCTTTCCCAGTTTTAGGGATTCCTCCCCCAGCACCCCAGGGTGTAGAGCATCCTTGTGCTGCAGCTCCCCAGTGGGCTGACCCGAGGGCCTGGAGAAGATGTTAGGGGGGGAGTTGAGGCTGAGACTAATGTTCCCATCAGGCTGAAGAGCACAGGGGCTTTCTTCTCTCCTGGGCTTTTCTCTCACCAAAAGACAGGCTTGAAGCCACCACTGCCATCCCAGGCAGGTCAGGCAGACATCTGAGTATGGCATGCAACCCCACACTGAATGCCAAGGCTTAGGCCTCCTTTCACCCCTAAAAAAGGACTCCATCTGCAAGACTATGAACAAGACAGCAACAGCAGATGACTCTGAATTCTCATGGATCCTGGGGACTATCTCCCTGCCGTCACCACCACTGCCAAGGTGAATATAAATTCAAGCAGCTGCCAGAGCTGCCAGAGAAGGAGTTTGTGGGGCTGTCCTGTTGCTCATCATTTGGTGGGTGCCATGGTGCTGTCCCAGAAAAGCAGAGCAAAGGGTGATGGAGCATCATCTGCTTGTGCCAGTGTGGTGGTGAAGGGATTCGTGTCAGCGTAAGGAGCATTTTGAGGTTTGGGTAACAATGGCCCAGCAGTGGTCTTTTTTGCACCCTTAGGGAGGTAAGCTGTGCCAGGGGAGGTTTAGATTGGAACATTTTCTTCACTGAAAGAGTTGTCAGGCCCTGGCCCAGGCTGCCCAGGGCAGGGGTGGAGTCCCTATCCCTGGAGGGATATCAAAGTCGTGTAGATGTGGTGCTGAGGGACATGGGGCAGTGGTGGCCTTGGCAGGGCTGGGGGAATGGTTGGACTTGATAATCCCAAAGGTCTTTTCCCACCCAAACAATTCTATGCTTCCACGATTCTACACACCACATGGAGAGTGATGGGTGCTCAGTGTGGGCACTCCAGTATCCCCAGAGCTGAACTCCTGTGGGGAAGCTGCCAGACACCCACCCAGCTGCTCACTCGCTCCCCTCTGCAGCAGGACGGGGGTGGGAAAGATGACAAAGCTCACGGATTGGGCAACTTTATCCCCAGTGCTTCCTCAAGCAGCAGAGGTGAGCAAGAGCCCCCAGCCAACCCCCATCATCTGTTACTCACTGGTGCAGGAGGCTGCTGGTGGATCCAGGTCTGCCCGGTAGTACCCGTTGCGGCAGGAGCAGAGCGGCGCGGCCTCGGCGGCGGAGCGGCTGTTGGGGGGACACGGTGTGCACCCCCCTGTGCCCTGGCTGGCCTTGAACGTCCCTGCTGGGCAGGCTGCAAGGAGAAAGAAATAAAAAGGTTTGGGTGCTGAGCAGCCCCAGGTGGAGGTGACAGCCTGGTTCTGTTCTTGGTAGAAAGAGAAGGAATGGATAGAGCAGAAGGGAGACACAGAAAAGCTCCATGTCTGTACCCGGGTGGCACTGCCCTACCCAGCCAGGAGGGCTAGGGTTTCCCATGCTGGAGCCAGCAGGAAAACACTGACCTGGTGCAGGGAGGACATAGTCACCAGCCAGGCAGGGTCCTGGGGCCACAGCAGCAGCTGGGTTCCCCACCATTCCCACCCAGGGACAGCAGGAGATGTAGGAACCCCTCCTGGCAGCGCTCATGGGGACAGGGACACTCAGGGGCAGGACAGCACTTCCCTTCTGCTGATCCAGAATGTCCCTTCTGCCACCCTGGCAGAATGGCTCCAGCCTCACACAGCCCTCCAGGCAGAATTTGATTACTTCATTTAAAAGCTGACATGGGACCCATGGCAGTGTCTTTGGGGGACCATCTCATTCATCCCTTCCCCCCCTGGGTCTAACAACTTTCCTGACCTTCAGCCCTCCGAGTTCACTCCAACAGGAAATGGTGGTGAATCCATAAACCAGAAGATGCTCCAGCTACAGTTGCAGCCAGGCTTTAATCAGCAAGGCAGGAGAGGTTTCATTCATCAACTATCTCACTGCTCCAAGGTTAGAGGGTGAAGATGGAGGGACAAAGACAGGGTCCCCTGCCCCACCCCACCAGTCCTCACTGGTGCTGATGGATGCTCATCCATCCCTGACACTTAAAAACCCTGTTGGTGACACTTATGCAACCAAAGGCAGCATCTACATTTTGGCTCCATCCTTCGTTCACCACCAGGCCAGGGAGAGGCTGTTCCTGGGCTCCCCCACAGGATGGTCCCACCTCTGCTGGGCTCCCAGCTCTGCTTCCAGGGTGCTGCCTCCCCCCTCCCCAAGGCACAGCTCTGCACACCCTGAGTGCCTCGTAAACACGGTGATGATTGAGATAATGGAAAGTGCCTCTTAGCCCCTGTCTGCTGCATCAGGATATGAGGCATCTCCCAGCAGCCATGGAGAGGAAATTAATAGGAGCAAGCAGGAGTAACCACTTTGATGCAATTTCCTTGGGAGATAGTGGACCATCTAATCTTTATTGGAGCCCTTTAACCTGTCATTCAAAACTCATGAAGGCCTCTTGCTCACACAGCCTTTCCAGATATTAAAAGATGATAAAAAGGGATAAATCAAAACAATATTTTACAATTTTATTATTCAGAGGATCTTCCCCCTCCCAGCTGCCTGCAATGAGCAGCCTCTTGCTACTAGCACTAATAGACTGGGGACATGGCATCCCAGAGGGACCAGCCACCACCTCATGCTGCCCCTTCCTCCTCCCCACCGTGGGAGGACTGAGAGTCCTTGGTGCCCTGCCACTGCCTTCCCCCACGTGTGGGCTCTGATGGAAGCAAGAGCCATCACCCACCACCTTGTACAGAGAGCTGGACAGGTGTGGTCACCATGCACTGGGTGGGCACACAAGGGGGAACTTCAGGATGCCAGCACAGAAGGCAGCTGGATGGAGACCCTTCCCTGAGCCATGCACACAGCCCAGCGCCCCACAGCAGCACAAGAAAGCAGTTACACCAGACACGTGAGGCAAGAGACACCACCAGGTGTGGACACCAAGACTTGGAGGTGGATCTCCATTTCTTCACCCCCTCATCCCACCACCACCTCCTCATGATGTCCCAGCAGCACTGTGCTCCCACCAGCAAACATGAGCATCCACGAGATGTGCAAGGGGTGGCTTGTGGGATCTAGAGCTGGAGAACTTGTTCAGAAACGTGCCTGAAACATGCTGGACTCTTTGGAAGAGCAGGAAGCAGGGGGCAGCAGTCCGAGGGAACAGCCACCTGGATTTTGATGGAAACGGATAGGAGAAGGAGGAAGGAAGACCAGAGGGTCACAGTGCTATGAACACTCCTCAGTGTTGAGCAGAGAGGCAGGCTGCTGGGTTGGTTGAAGGGGTTTGTTAATTTTTAATTACAATTAATCCAAGTGATGCTTTGTCAAAATACCTGAACAAAGGGAACCCAGCATCCTCAGGTTTCTCCTATCTCTTTGCTTATCCATACATTCCTGTAATCTGCAGGCACATGGCTCTTAATTGCTACTATTACCAATTAGCTTTTCTCTCCTGTAATTACACTGTGCTTGCCTGATGTCTCCTGCAGCTTCGGGGGAGGTTGATGCCTTCTCCTTCCTCCCAAAGCTGCTAAGGCGGCACACCCCCTCAGGCTCTGGCTGCTCCTCTCTTTCTGGAGGACCTGAACCACAAACCTCACCCTGAAGATAAAGACAAAACCCCCCAGACCCCAACAAGGCCCTGGTGGGATGTAGAGACCCAGGTAGTGTGGGCTCCATCATCCTTCAGATGGCAAACCCAGAGCCTGAACACCAGGCTTGAGCCCAGGAGGGAGCAATAAATCACCACAAAATGGCAAAGCCAATGTTTGCCTTGATTTAAGGGCTGCTGCAAGGAAATTCCCCAGAGCTTGGCAGGGTCTGGATCTGCAGAAGCCTCTTGGACCAGGCTGTGTCTCCCTGTCCCTGCCTCAGCACCTCCCAACACACCCCGGGTGCTGCTCGGCAGGGTGGGCACTCAGCTGCCCACTCAGCACCCGAGCCCAAAGCTGCCTGTGAACTGTGCATCCCACCAGGAATTCCAGGCAGCCCAGACCAGGCTTTGCCAGCAGGACCCCTTTCCCAGAGCCACCACAGGCCTTTGGGAGTGTTGCTGGGGAGCTGCTGAAACCTTGCTGAAAGATCATAGAATCATTCAGGTTGGAAGAGACCTTAAAGATCATCAAGTTCCAACCCCCCTGCCATGAGCAGGGATCCCCACCACTAGACCAGGTTGCACAAAACTTCCTCCAACCTGGCCTTAAAAACCTCCAGGGATGGGGCATCAACAGCCTCCCTGGGCAACTTGGGCCAGGCTCTCACCACCCTCACACTCCACAATTTCCTCCTCATGTCTCACCTCACTCTCCCCTCTGCCAGTTTTCATCCCTTCCCCCTTGTCCTCTCCCCCCCTGCCCTTGTCCCAAGTCCCTCCCCAGCTTTCCTGGAGCCCCTTCAGGCACTGGAAGGTGCTCTAAGGTCTCCCTGGAGCCTTCTCTTCTCCAGGCTGAACACCCCAACTCTCCCAGCCTGGCTCCAGAGCAGAGCTGCCTTCAGCCCTTGGATCATCTCCACGGCCCTTCTCTGGACCCTCTCCAACAGATCTATATCTTTCTTGTGCTGAGGGCACCAGAACTGTGCACAGCTCTGCAGGTGAGATCTGACCAGAGCAGAGCAGAGGGGCAAAATCCCCTCCTGGCCCTGCTGCCCACACTTCTTGTGATGCAGCCCAGGACACAATTGCCCCTCTGGGCTCCAGCTCTCACTGGTGGCTCATGTCCAGCATCTCATCTCCTCCCACCCCCAAGTCCTTCTTCTTAGGGCTGCTCTCCAGCCATTCTCCCCCCAGCCTGGATTGGTGCCTGGAGCTGCTGGGATGTCATCGCTGGAAGTTTTACAGGGGAGGGGAAATAAAACAGATGCAAATCAGGTGCCCAAGGGGATGGCAGGGCTGGCAGCTGATGTGCAGCACCCCACGGGGCTGAAGCTGGGGCAACCCCAGCCAGAGCTGCCCCTCAAGTCCCCCAAAAGGACGGGGATGTGTCTACATCCCACCCGGGGCAGAACCCCCAGTAGAGACACCAGAGCTGCAGCCCCGCTCTCCTCACTCCTCAAGCTTGCACAGCGTGGGAGGAATTACTGAAGAAGAATTGAGAGGCTTTTTGCTGCTCAAAACTCTCTTGCACTGTGTTTCCTGCACCCTTATCTTTCGGGTGCCAGGGCTTCTAGGAAGAGTGGAGGTGGCTGGGATTGCCCTGCTCACCCAGCCCAGCTCCTGCCCAAGGCCAGCCATCCTCCCCAGACCAGACACTCAGCAGAAAGGCTGCAAAAGCACAGGGGTATCCAAGCATTTCATGTTTCAAACTAAATCCTCTCAGTTAACACCTGCAACTTGCACTTTTTAATTACTCTCTCAGGGAAGCTTTAGTCAAAGATTAAAAAAAAAAAAAGAAGAGGAGGAAGAAACAAAGAAAGGAGACATCTCCTCTATATTATCTTGCTCTAAAGCTCCCTGAGGACACAGAGTGGCATTTATTTTCCTTATCAGGTTTCAAAATGGGAGCTTCTGCAAAGAATTACCAACTTCAGCTGGCATCCCCCCATCTCCTGGCCCCAGGATTCCACCAGCTCCCCTGTCCTGCCGCAAACCCAGCGCGTGCCATCCATCACCCCTGAGCCTCTGGCTAACCACGTTTGCCAGGTATTCCCAAATTCAAGGTCAGGTTTGGGTTTCCCTTTTGGGCCCAATGGCTTCATGGGGCAAATCCAGTGTCTTTAGGTCCATCTGTGGTCTTGCTGACAGAGCAGGTGATGAAAAGCTGTTTAGAAGTGGGGGTGCTGCACAAGGTGATGCCCTCGAGCACACTGGAGGTGAGGAGAGGATTCCCACAGGTAAAGGCACTAAACCCCTGGATGATCCACTCCTGCTCCAGGACACATGTCTGGAACCCATCAGCACCTCTGGAGATGAGCAGTGAAGAAGAAATGCCTTGTTGGGTTTGAGGGTCATGGAGAAAGGAGGAACTGTGGCTCCTTGCACTCACAACCCACCAGAAACGGGTTCAAGGCCATGTCACCGCTTTCTGAAAACTACAATTTATCACTAAGAAAAAAACCTGGCTCCTAAAACTGATACTTTTTGCACAAGACTCACAAATTTGGATGAAACCTAAAAAAGAGAGACATTTACTAGAAATCTCTTGCAGATACCTTCCACACTAAATGCAACTCTCTCCAAGCACACACACTAAAAAGAAATATAACGGGGAAAAAACAACAACCCAGCCAGTCCATTTTTCAGATTTCCAACTGGAGATTTCC